AAAAAAAAAAAAAAAAAAAAAAAGAAAGTGAAGCGCAGAGATGTAGAGCTCTGAACACACACACATTTCTTCCAGACTCGTTCAGGGGCGACTCCCTGCACAGAGCTGTAAGCTGATTGGTCGGGCTAAACAAATAAAAGAATTTCATTTGAAAAAAAAACATTGCCCTGAAGTAAGATCAAGTAACAGGTCATATATTAATCCGTAACAAGCTAGGCTGTTTCTCCGGGCGCCCGGGCACCCAACTTCTGCCCGGGTGCCTGGCCGGGCATGACCCCTGGACAGGGTTCCGGGCAGCCCCATCGAAAAACAAAAGAACAAAAAATAAAAAAAATCCCGGGGAAAAAAATATGCTGTGTAGAATTGAAATACAAACGACTTTTGGCTAAGGGTCACATTATAATTCCTCACAGAATCGTACATAAAAAAAAAATAATAATAATAGAATCACACAAAGTCACCCCGCTTTAGACCCCTTTAACCCCTTTAATACCAATTTATACCCCCTTCCCCCCCCCCCTTGACAGCCAACCTGCAAAAAACGAAATGAGCTCGGATTTGGGGTCCTCCGGGAGGGTGCAGGAAGGCTAACCAAAAACAAATTTCAAACCAAAATCTTTTTTTTACATGCCTGGGTACTCCGGCCCGCGTGCCAGGCAGGACCTGCCGGGCGTGAGACTCTTCCTAGGTAACGAGAACTTTCTTTTCTTTTCTTCTCCTTCCTTTTTTTTTAATGCTTATAAGTGTGAAGTCATGGACTTTATTCACAAAACCAGTGCTTTTGTTTTTATGTTTACAAGTTATCAGTGTGAACTCGTGAACTATCTTATTCACAAAAACAGCGCATAAAAACAATCTCTCATCAACAAAGACACGACTGTGTGGTTCAGCTCTCCAGAGTGTAGCGATGTGCTTGGAAAATAAAATGGCAAGACTCCCCCCAACAGCTCCAGAGCTCAAAAAAAAAAAAAAAAAAAAAAAAAGCGACTACTAATGAATTGTTTGGGGCTGATCACCTCAATGATAATATCTGAAGGCTCTCGCACTAAAAAAAAAAAAAAAAAAAAAAAAAAAAAAAGCTCTGAAAAAAAAAAGCTAAAAAAACAGGTTATAACTTATGAGTCTTATGCCACCGTAATGTACAAGCCGTTCAGTCGTTGAAACAAGTTAGCACAAAATGTGAGGCTTTACTCTCGTGGAGGACATAATGTGGTACACCAAAGTCGTCATGAAACTTTAACCAAATTTAGGGGAAACTACGCGGGAGTCACAAAAACAAGTTATAATTGCACTATGGGCGAAAATACGGTTGGCAATTGCAATTGTGGCAATGGATACAACCCAGCTTTCTGGCCAGGTGTAGGGTGCCCGAAGTGCAATTGCAAACTGTATCTTGCCCCATATATGGGTCAGGGCCATACCTTTAAATCCCATGCTCTCTTAACCCTGCTGTCAGAAAACTGCTCACCTGCTCAGAAATTGAATGAATGATTTAGCAGAGTTGCTTGAAGGTTAGCAGAGTTGCTTGACCCGGCCGCCCAGGACTTGCCCGGGGGGGAGGACCTGCTTCGCTCGTAGTAAACCGGGGAACAGGAGCAAAACGAGGGTCAATTTGCTCTTTTTTTTTTTGGGGGG